CTGTTTTCTTTTCTCTTGGTCTTTTTTGCCTTTTATAAGCCTTATCTGGTATTCTGTGTGGACCTGACTAGCATATGAAGGTCTCCCCTAAAAATGATTATAATCATTTACACAGACAATGTAGCATGAACTTCACCAAACAAAGATAAAATAAAGATATACATTTATCTACTTAAAATCCTCAGACCAGCCCAGTTTTCATTTAATTACAATGGACTTATCATTGTTTGAGACATTTAAATGACACTTGAACCTGCAAAGTGTCATGCTCTCTAAGCTCCATAAAACACCTTAAATTTCATCTGGATAAATATTTGTTTCAATACGCAGCTTATGTCTATTGGAATGCAAACTATATACATGAAATCAGTGTGTCACAAATTATATGAACAAATTCAGATACAACATGTAACCACTACCAAATGAAATATATGACTTTAAGGTACAGATGAATCACTTTTGCTGTAGGTGATAGCTATAATGTTAGGACAAATTTATATTAGAGTACACTTGTAATTGAAACAGAAAACATTCATTTAATTGTGTTATCCTCTTAAATTGAGGAGGAATATCACATCATATTTTTGTTTAATGCATCTTAAATATCTCATTTGAAATAAGATTTCATCATTTAATTCTTCTTAAGGTGAAATATCCCTCTGCTCCAAATTTCACCATTTTTTTTTTTTTTTTTTTTTTTTAATAAACTCCCAACATTGATTTTCATCAACAACAATAGCATTAGATTTTAATGGAAAATAGTATGAAGTATGAAGCGTTGCTTACTTTTTCAGAAATAAATATGTCTAATCATGATATGAAGAAAATTTGATATGGTGAATAGAAAGAACAATATTTTTTTTATCTCACCCTAAAATTAAAAATATGAGGTATTTATATATGAAAATAATATTTACTATCAAACCTATCTAATTCACATTAGAAAAAATAATGAAGCGTTGCTTTTTAAATCAGAATATCACGTTGTTTTCTGTGCTTGTAAAATAAAAATGCATCCATCTACGAGAGTTACCTTCTTCAAAATATTTTTTTGTGAAAAAAAATCGATTGTAAAAAGTCTGGTTAGTCTGCATCTGAAATTTCTGTAACAATTAAAAGAATTACATATTAAGAGATAGAAATATCTAAATTTTTTTTTTTTTTTTTTTTTTTTTTTACATATCAATGAGGTACATACACGGGCACTTGTTTCGTATAGATCTATGGGGCACCCCTACTTATTTTTACCACAAGGTACCTAACTCAATTTCAGGCACCCCCGCTTCAAGCTCGTATTTTGTTTACATATCAATCATTAACCTACTTTAAACAGGTCTAGGCGGCCTCCGTTTTTGGAGGATAGCTAGATTCAATATGGCGGCCAAATTTTTTACCATATATGGAAACCACATTGCATTGTGGGATAGTTTATCCTCCAATTTCAGAGGATAACACAGGTAATTTTCAAACGCCTCGTGCCTACCTTTAATCAAAAAGTGCAAGCACCAGAGTACATGTAAATTAAAGTTCAAACATTAAACTATCGATTGTATGTGGCGATTTGAGATTCTCTGTCTAGAATTTTTACAATACGCTTTCAAAGTTGGCACTTCTTGCACTCCATTTTTACTTAATATTTCTTGGCATTTTGTTATATTTTTATGCTTTTCCCTATCAAGACCAATAAAAAGGGACTTATATAATATTACTTTCATATTTTCTCTTAAGGAGATGGGCGAACATAGCGTGCAGAAAGCCTATAGCTTCAGAAATATAAAAATTCGTGTTCAGTTTGTGAATTTAATATTTAGAGTAAAGTTCTCATTATTGAAATTTATGAAATTGTAATAAACAAAACTTTTCTGAGGAAAATTTTCTCGGCAAAATTTATTCTTTTATTAAAAAAATTAATGTGGTATTCATGGGGTTCGAACCCTTGCAATAAAAATCCTGAGTATAATTTTCTTTCGAGACTAGCACGCTAACCACTAGACTACACAAGTCCTGACGAACATTGGCATTTAAATCATGCTTGTGATATGACCCTTGACTTAATGGACTTCAAGTATTTCTCGAAAAGATGCTAATGTTATGTCATAAAAGTATATTTTTAAGGTATAGTGGGTCATTGCTCCATATTTTTGGTAACCAAAAAATGTATACTTTTATGCAAACTTTGAGGATTAACTTTCAAAAAGGTGGAGCGAAGACCCACTCATATAGAAAAATAGTATTATAGTATGAAAAAATGACTCTTTTTGCCCGCTTCAGTGTGTGTCTATTTTTTCACAGGCAGATAATTTCAATCTTTGAGGGATTTTTGCAAATTGTAGAGATTTTACATAAAATATATTTTAATGTTAGACGAAATATCAAGGAAAATTTTGATATATTTGAAATTTAATTTTTCATCTTCATGTTTGTCACACTATAGGCTTATCGCTCGTCATGTTCACCCATCTCCTTTAAAAATGGAGAAAAAAAAGAAACATGGAAGGAAACGTAATATAAGCACAAAATATACTCTGCCTTATAATTTAAGCAATGAATGAATATAAATTAAACAGATAAATAAATAATATTAAAAAAATAAATAAATTATTTGAAAAGCATATATAAATAAATAAAATATATATAATTTAACATGTTTACTAAGAAATAAACATTATTATATACATGTACATATATATGTATATATAAATTTAAACAAAATATTACAAAAATGATGTCTTTCAGGATTATTCATTAAATGAAATGCTAGTAATACTTAAACTTAATTTTTCAAAAAAATTATTTATCAATTTTTACACATAATTACAGTACCGGAAAATCAGCTTGGATATTAAAAAAACGTCTCCCTACAGGTACACATGTAAGGGTAATTGTTGTTAACTAAGCTTTAAAGTTTAATTAAAACTAATTAATTGATTGACAACAATTACAAAATAAATGTAATATTAATTTAATATCTAGATTTATCCATCATCACATGAAATTTTACGTTTTCTTTGTTACGGTTCATAATCTGATAAATGCAAGAGTCGCTGTTATTTGTTTGGTTAAGAGTTAACTGCCCTTTGTTTTGAAAAGTCCGGTAGGTGGTGACACCTCTATCCTCTGTTTTTAGAGGATAAAATCTATCCTTCAAAAACAGAGGCCGTCTAGACCTGTTAAAATGACATCGTTTGCTTCGAGAGACTTTTTTCTTGTCAAATTAATCGTTAAGGATGTCTCTGGTTGAGCCTCTTTATTGTAAACCACTCATTTCTTCCTCGAAAATTATCTTGATACAAAATAAGACTTTGAATGGGATACAAAGACTTCCGGTTGGGGTTATAAATGAATGATAAAACCAGAGACCTCGGAAAGGAATACTCGTAAGTCTCTGGATTTATCCTACTTTTGTAACCCCAACCGGAAGTCTACTTGTATCCCATTCAAAGTCTTATTTTGTATCGAGGTAATTTTCGAGGAAGAAATGAGTGGTTTACAATAAAGAGGCTTGACCAGAGACTCCGAAACGATTGATTTGACAAGAAAAGTCTTTTGAAGCAAACTATGTCATTTTAAAGTAGCTTAATAATTGATATATATTAAACAAAATACAAGCTTGAAGCGGGGATGCCTGAAATTGAGTAAGGTACCTTGTGGTAAAAATAAGGAGGGGTGCCCCGCATACGAAACAAGTGCCTGTGGGTACATACATATATTTATAAACCAAGACCCAAGTACCTGTGGTGAACAGTACAATGAGAAGACAGTAAGCAACTGTATTAAACACTGTTAAAAAGAGCAAGATATTGGATCTAATCCGACTTACTTTTCAACTACACTGATTTCAGTATCATGCAGTTCTGAGCACAAGGATCTGTAAGCATTAAGTGGATGTATTATATCAGTTTATATGTAAGCATAAACTACTGAAACCGGGTCCGAACTGGCATCACTTGGCCAACCGATTGGGCCTAAATATTGTTATCAACTTGAATTGCAATACGATGGCAGTATTTAGTGATAAAGTTCGTAGAAAAAGTTGCTAGGGTCTGATTAAAACCAATAATGCTAGCCAATTTATAAATATTTTCAACGATTATGACGATCAGACGACTAACCTGCATCCCTTTTCCACCATGAATAAATAATTATGGAATGCCAAACCCGATAAAATAAAAGTTACAAAGTGGGAGAATTTCAAAACTTGAAAAAAAATAAGACGTTACAATCATGTTTCAAATGCTTGAAGCTTGTTTCTACATGTTAGTATATATTTCTTATAATCTTGTTTTGTAACAAAACAAGCATCATTTTAAAATATGTATCATTAAAGCATGGGCACTTATTCTAAATGTGTTATTTTTATAGTCATGGCCGTAGGAACTGGGGGGGGGGGGGGGGGCAATAATTTTGCCGATATATAGAATACTATAGAAAACATAGCTCCTATATGCTTGTGCCCCCTCAATAATAATGTGATGACCTTTTTTTTTTGCATGTCAAGGAAATTTGGTACTTCATAGTTCCCCCCCCCCCCCCAACTAAAAATGTATGGTTGTGCCCCCTCAGAGTGAAATTGCTTCCTACGGGCCAGAATGTGTCAGCAGGAACTATACACACAATTAATATACTAGTATTTATGGGTCCTTGGTGTCAGTAATAAGCTGAAATAAAATGCATTTATTGACTGGGCCTGAAGGCAACCGCATTTTGTTGGACTCAGAAAACCAAACTGTTTGCCTGAGGTCAGTGGGAATTCAAACAGTTTGGATCTAGGATACAACAAAATGTATTCTGCCCAAGAATGGTTTTGTTACACTTTTTACTTTTTATTACAATGTATCTTGTACTGGCTTCCAAGCTCAATAGAAATCCACAATTGAAATTCCTTTTTAGATAGATTCTAAAATTTCACCAATTAGATGGCATCATTCTAAGAAAAACATTAAAACATTGAAAGGAAAATATAGGAAATTATAAAAATAAAAAAAAAAAAGAATCAGTAATCAATTTTAACAAAATGCATTTATTTCATGTTCATAAATAAATAAATATTTGTAAAGTGAAAGTCCATGAACACATTCCAGAAATGTAAAGGAATTGGTGATGTCAACTTGGACACCACATATTTCCATGAGAATCTGGCAATTCTTTGTGTGCTATGTCCCACATCCATGGTTTATCTGGGAAAAAATGAAATAAAAAAATCAGAAAGACAATTACACTCTTTCCTTGGGGGAAAAAAAGAGTAAAGTCCAAAATTAATGTTACAGCAAAACATTTTTTAGTTACTAGTAAACATTTACCTTCCTTTGTATAGGCTCTGGGGGGAAGATCATAGGGGAGAACCAGAGTTTTCTGCCTGGCCTCTCTAACTTTACTTGTGCATTGGAATACTGTCTTTCCAACCTAAATGTTCCAAAATATACACATTATATTCTTCCAAGAAATAAAAGGTTTAGCATAAGAAAGTACAGACAGATTCAGCTGCACATTTTTTATTTTTGTTTGCTCGTTATTTTTTTTAAATTTAATTGGAGAGCTACCATAATACATATTGTTCCAACTCCTCTAATAAATAGGTGCTTTGTGGACACTTACTTAGAAGTATTTTAAAGTTAAGAATGGAAACCTTTTTATTTATTTCTACAATTCATGGCAAAATTTGGCATATTCCTTTAAAAAAAAATTGAAGTTGAGCATGCAACAAGTATATTTTACGTACAGAGGAAAAAGTTTCCATTCTTAACTTTAAAATACCGGGACTTCTAAGTGAGTGTCCACAAAGCACCTTCTCTATCAAGTAGACACATAGATACAGCACCCTTCTCTATCAAGTAGACACATAGATACAGCACCCTTCTCTATCAAGTATACACATAGATACAGCACTTCTCTATCAAGTAGACACATAGATACAGCACTTCTCTATCAAGTATACACATAGATACATTACTTCTCTATCAAGTATACACATAGATACAGCACTTCTCTATCAAGTATACACATAGATACAGCACTTCTCTATCAATATGTGCTGTATCTATGTGTCTACTTGATAGAGAAGGGTGCTGTATCTATGTGTATACTTGATAGAGAAGTGCTGTATCTATGTGTCTACTTGATAGAGAAGTGCTGTATCTATGTGTCTACTTGATAGAGAAGGGTGCTGTATCTATGTGTATACTTGATAGAGAAGTGCTGTATCTATGTGTATACTTGATAGAGAAGTGTGCTGTATCTATGTGTATATTTGATAGAGAAGGGTGCTGTATCTATGTGTATACTTGATAGAGAAGTGCTGTATCTATGTGGATACTTGATAGAGAAGTGTGCTGTATCTATGTGTCTACTTGATAGAGAGGGGTGCTGTATCTATGTGTATACTTGATAGAGAAGTGCTGTATCTATGTGTATACTTGATAGAGAAGTGTGCTGTATCTATGTGTATACTTGATAGAGAAGGGTGCTGTATCTATGTGTATACTTGATAGAGAAGGGTGCTGTATCTACAGTCCCTGAAACGTTCTACTTTCCCACTTGAACGGTGAGCGAACGCTGAACGAACGGTGAACGAACGCTGAACGAACGCAGAGCGAACGGTGAATGAACGATGTGTGAACGCTGAACGCAACTTGGTGAACGATGTGTGAACAGTGAACGGTGAGCGAACGCAGAACGCGAACGGAGCGCAAACGCGAGCGCAAAGTGAACGGTGAACGAACGGTGAACGCAAGATGAACGATTTATTCGGAATGCCTCTGATCTTTTCCTTGCATTGAAACTATTCTATTGTATTCTAATGCCTGGTGCTAAAAAATAAATAAACAAATCAATGAAAATTGTCCTAAGAAGGACGATACATGCACATTAAGTAAAATTATTAATTTAAGTTTTTTACAATATTTTCTGCACATATGTACGATGTTTAAATTCAACTTTTTGATAATACGATTTTTATCGCTGTAAAACATTGTAATTGTTACCGAACGCTGTAGTATAACAGATGAAATTAATCTAGTTGTAAAATAAATATGTTTATTCTTATTTGATATATAAAACCATTACAAATAATGTGGATTTTAGAAGAGAAAACTACGGACTTATAGAATGAATTACAATGGTTGTAACAACCATAAAAGGCGATTCCGTGTAAAATAATGAGAAAAAAAATATTTTACAAAGGTATGTGGACGTATTGCATAAATACACTTTAATGCAATAATATATTTATGTGTCAGTTTTATTTTTTATGATGATATATTGAGCAGACTTCTACATGTATCTGTAGACTTTCCCGGCCGTGGTTATACTCGGACAAGATGATACAAGGAGGCAATCATATTATTTGTTATATATTAAGAGCCATTCTCTGTAATGACTTGAACTTTTATATAGGAGCTGTGGCACGCATAGTCTCAGAATTTCTCCAAACTCTCTATGATAAAAGTCTTTGATACCGTAAACTCAAATCAGGCAAAAAATGGTTGCTACGTGTCATGGTTACCATAGCAACATGTCCTAAAGTTTGAAAAATGGCATTTTTCAACATCTTCAGAGTCCCACAGTTAACGTTTGCAGCATAGCAAACAAGTGGCAATGACAGTTTCTGAAAGTTGAAGGCCTGGTGTCTTAAATGCATGATAAACATGTTTGGTAAATCATCTATAACATACGTTACTATGGAAACAAAGTATTCAAAAGTAATAATTTTGTTCATTTAATTTTATAAAGTCATACACTTAAGAATAAAAACAATTATAGGTTGAAATGCAAGCAAATAATAGAGAAGAGATCCTTGCATCATATACCAAGGACAAAATATGATATTTCTTATAGGTTGGCAATGGTTGCCATGGTTTTAATACCAAGAAGGGATTTTAAATTTACTCTCTTAGTGTTTTAATCTTATCCTATCTTTTTAAATAGTATATTTCTATATAACTGATGGTCAATTTTTAAAGGCCTTGGTGTGACCCTAATTTTCATATTTCAAAAAATTCAATTTCAATTCTTTAAATAGTGCGTTGCTATGGAAATAAGGCGAAAAAGTATCCATAAAAATCTGAAAAATACTCTGTTTCCTTGGATACGTACCGTTATATGTAGATTCCCAAAACTTTAATGACTGATATATGTGAACAACTAACCCGACTTTCAATTTTGACTATCACCCAATCTCTAACTGGATGCAAAAAGCTGGCACATAGGGTCTAATATTGACAAAAAATTAACAAAATCGAACATTTTCTCTTCTTGGTAACCATAGCAACAGTGTTGTATTTTTCAACAACCTTTATCAATATATGATATTCAACTTTAGGTCTACGAGATAAATACTATTCAAGGTGATTCAAATAATATGTTTCTTGACCAAAAGGTTAGTAAATTCCTAAAGCAGCAAAAAAATATCACTTTAAACAACTAGTACGTTGTTTCCATGGTTACACTGCAAAGTAACGATTTATCTCAATTTTTCTTATGTTGTCGGTGTTGCAAGGTCATAAGGATGCATATGTGCCAGTCATGAATTTTATTGTTTTTCCTCACGATAGTAGCATTAACCCAATCATTGCAACAGATTTTGCATGGTGACATTGTGTTACCATGGCAACCATGAAAGTTATTTTTAGAATAATATTGCCAATACCTAATTACATAAGGTCAAATATTTTTCATTCTTTTTCTTACGTTGTTGATTGAGTTTGATCATGTAACATCTATCATTTGTGACTATAGAGCATTTTTCAGCATTTTTCAGCATCTAAAATGTATTCCAAATGTACCCATGGTTACCACTTACTTAGAGATAAATTCTAAATAGTTTCTTTAGAGCATAAGTGGCAACAAGGTGTCATGTTTTTGGGAGAATGGCTTGTTTGTTTTTCTTAGTATTTATTAAGGCTTAATAAAGATTTAAAGTAGCTAAAAATCTAAATTTTTTCAACTTTTCTGGATGTTACCATGGCAACCAAGACACATGGCAACGAAATTTTATTTGATATATGTTTCTGGTGTCAAGTTGTAATAATGGGCAAAGTTTCATCAAAATCGGTGACCATGCGTGGCAAAGAAGTTTAAGTGGTTACAGAGAATCGCTATTAAATTTTCACAACTTGATATTTAAGTAATATGCTGTCATAGTTTTTATTAAACAGACAAATGAGAGAGAGAGAGAGAGAGAGAGAGAGAGAGAGAGAGATTCGGTTTTAGCCCCCCCCCTTCCTCAAATGTTTGTACCTATATCAAACAGAAATTCTAAATTTTTTCTATATATATCAGGCAGTGAAAGTAACCATTTTTTTTAGCAACAAATCCATTTGTTTTACAGTCATAATCGGTTTTTATTTTCCTGCTTCAAGTTCACACGAAGTCCGCGTGCATGACCTGTCAATCAAAATCATTCGACACTGTGCAGGTGTAAAAGTCTCGTCACACCGAAGGCAAAGTGTTAGTATTTCCAAGAAGTTTTTTTTTTCTTATCATTTCTAGATCTGATTCCAACATTTCTAAAATAAATAAATAAATAAATGAATAAAATACATTGGGAATAAATACTTGGAATAATTAAGCCGCTTGAATTTGAAACATAATACCTGCCAATTTAAAATATCACGGCCGGCACATGTATATTTTGAACTACGATTGTTTAATGACTGTTTAGATGCATGTTTGTTTTGAGACTGAATTTCTTGTGCTACAAAACACATTAACTTCTTTTTAAATGTTGATTAAAATGTACTGGAAATACTAACTAAGTAACCGATTTAGGGGAAAGGGGGGGGGGGGCTCTTAATAATATCGAATGACAAACATTTAAAGTTACGGTGAAAAATATCATTACTGGAGAATCGCTTTGGTTATATAAATGATAATCATGTTATAAAGGCATTTCTCTCTCTCTAATTAAAGACTTTATATATGTAAAGTTGAAAAAAATTCTTTAATGTATTACATTTTAAACAAATATTTTTTTTAAACCACACTATCAATTTAATTCGCTCTAAAGATATTTAATTAACTGGATATCTGCAGTACTGCTTGTCATTCTCAGAAAAAGTTCTAACATGTATTTCTGTACTATTTAAAAAAATGATATATAAATAAATATTTTCGTATTTTTGCTGCAGTTGGTAAATTATTTGACTTCGATTATTATCTATCCATTAACGATTTGTCGTCTTTAACATGACAACAAAATGTTGCAGTGCTTGAAGTATCAGCATTTTGCCCGTATTTAAATTTAATTTTTCAGCATTAAGCATTGTTCTACATAGGTACATACATGTACTTATAACAACATTTATTTTCCAGATAAATCTTATAAATAACCTAACAGCTAAGTTAGAATAATAAAAATAAATATTGTAGATAATTTTTTTCCCCATGAAATAATGATTCTTCAAACACGGTATGTTATTTATTAAATTCAAAACCTGTAAATCCTTACTTAAAAAAAGATAAGTCCTTTCACTTCGGAGTTCCGAGTGACACTGAAGACTGAACGATAAGTGAACGCTGAACGCAAGGTGAACGCAAAATGAACGAACGAAGAGCGAACGGTGAACGCTTTGTGAACGGTGAACGCGAGCGCACGGTGAACGCTGAACGCAAAACTGTGAACGGAGAGCGAACGGTGAACGCACGGTGAACGAACGGTGAACGCACGCTGAAAGAGCGGTGAACGAACGGTGAGCGAACGGAAAAATGGGAAAGTAGAACGTTTCAGGGACTGTATGTGTATACTTGATAGAGAAGTGCTGTATCTATGTGGATACTTGATAGAGAAGTGCTGTATCTATGTGTCTACTTGATAGAGAAGTGTGCTGTATCTATGTGTATACTTGATAGAGAAGGGTGCTGTATCTATGTGTATACTTGATAGAGAAGGGAGCTGTATCAATGTGTATACTTGATAGGGGTGAATTAAAAAAAAATGACCACCAAACTAAATTTTTTTGGCAAAATTCAACTACTTATAACATATTTTTCACTTATATCATCATATTGCAAATGCATTCTAGTTTAAAATCCTGAAGTGGCAATAGAATAGACAATTGGATTAAAAAGTTTCAGAATTTTTATTAGTAAAATTTCTTTTGAAAAAAGAAAATATCATTACACCATAAAAGACTTTCTAAAATACATAATCACAAGAAATTATAGTTTTTTATGCTTTAAAATGGTAAAAGGGGTATAAATGATTAAATCTAGACCTTGAATGAGTATCTTCTCTTGCACATGTGACAAAAAATTGGCTTTTTGATTGTTATTTCACATTATTTTTTCAATTCTGGTTTGAAAAGTTTTAATATGAAAAAAATATGAAGCAATAAAATTCCCCAAAATTCACTTTCTTGTTCGTTCAAGTCAATTCTTTAAATCTAAGCCAAAAAAGAATTGTTATATACGAGTTCTCTTACGAAAAATACTAGATTTTGAAGTGACCCTATGTTACATTATTGTGTTGCACTCCTGACATCTGATATATATTTTATTTAACATTGTTTTAAAAATTATAACACACAATAACCCATTCTTACTTTGTAAATCAATTTGTTGTGTTGATATATTTCATCGTTTACAGCAGGTTTTTCATATTTTGAAGACCTTAAAACATGATTATTTGCAAAGTGTAATACAGTGAAAACTGTCTAATCCGACACCTGTGCAATCCGTCACACTGTGAAATCCGACGTTAAATTTCATTCCCATTTTACTATTTTCCATGTTTTCTACACTGTGCAATCCGACACCCTGTCTATTCCGACACAAAATCCGTCTCCCAGTACATGTCGGATAAGACAGGTTTCACTGTATATATAAATTGTATTTAAAATATATGTGAAATGATGAAAACTATTCCCTGAATTGACTGTAAAATTTCTGTAATTAGTTGATAGACATAGTGTTTTGAACATCAAATAGTATCAAGCATTTTTTTTCAACTTAATTTTTAGTAAAGATAGTTAAAAAGCATCGGTAATTATGAAGTAGTTTTGTTGCACTCCTGACTGCAGTAAAGTTTAAAATTAAAACCACAGAACACAAAAATTCATAAAGTGTTGGCAACATCAAGTGGTAATGAAATTGTGCAATACTTATAGTCCAATACTTCATAATTAAAACAGATGAAAGTATTTAAAATTTGCATTTTATCTGGAATTATACCCTATTTTATGCCAAAAAACTAGCTTAAATGTATATTTAGAAGATAAAATATATTTTAAAGCATATTTTCCTTTAGAAGACAAACACAGTAACCCACCAGAAAAATTCTTCTCATCATTTTTTCTTTCTTTTTATTCTTATTGGATGATTTATAATTCTAACATATTTGTTGCACTCCTGACCAAAAGCATTTGGGCCTTTAAAGTAGAATTGTGAAGTGAAAATTACATAAGAACTTGTTCTGTTGTTTCAGTGAAGTTGAGGAGGAATTACTCGAATTTTATGACAATGTTTTAGTGTGTTTATTTTTAATGTTCATTAAAAAAATCACAAAAAAGATAAAAACACATCTGAATTGATAAAATTGAAAAAGGAAGGATTTTAATAATAAAACTGTCAATAATTTAGCATTAAATTATACAAAGAGATCATTATTAATTAATGAATACTTTTAAGCATGAATAGAAGTCTTTTCGTCACACAACTTGAATCTTTAAAAAATGTTTTGCACTCCTGACCATAGAAATATGGATCTGAAGCACAGACAGATCCTGTAATTGATAAATCTATTTGGTAAAAATGTTCTTTGTGTCTCTATTTTCCAAAATAAAAATCAGAAAATCATATAATGATAATAGTTTTTTCATGCTTGGGAGCAAAATATCAAATGTTGCACTCCTGACATTTTGGGGTATGCACATATACTTGACTCTCATTAATGCTGCTTGTGATTTATATAACATTTTTAATTTTTAAAATGTATATCAGTTATTATTTTACACTTCCAAAATTCTTTTTTGTCTTAATCTTCTATCAGAATTTTACAATTGATGTTTTTTTGGCAACACTACATTTTTTCTGTTGCACTCCTGACATGGTATAACATTTTTTTAAACATCAGCCATGACCACAACCTGATTAAACAAAAGTTACTACAGTCCACATTTAAAGCTCAATACTTTGAATATTATCAGGAAAGTCTTTATTTTCAACATGAAGCATTATTTTTTATTTCACAGATCTCCAAAAAATATTGAAATTTCAAAATGTCACAAAAAGGTGTTGCACTCCTGACAATTTTAGCATCATTTTTGGGCATAACTTTTTTGTTAATTGAGATATCAACGAGATATTTGGCAGGTATTTAGACACTATCTAAAGACATATGCTGAGACATAGAAATCTATTTTCATTGCCTGTATTTTTAGTGTGGGTTGATAAATATGCGTTTGGTCATATTTTTTTTTATTCACCCATAGAGAAGTGTGTGGTATTTAAGTCATTAAGACCTTGAGTGAAATTTGCACCTCAAGGTTTCCACAAGCAGAAGTCAAAACAGCTATTTGCTGTCATTATTGTAGCAATTTCACCAAAGATATCCATTATTACCAAGAACTGAGGTATAAACAGCACTCCTATTTCATAAGAGCGTATCATGAGTTGACTCCCTTTCTTCTCCAGGGCTCCCCAAGCAGCTTTTGATAAGTTGGAACTGAAAAGACAAAAAAAGTAAATTAAATAGTCCAAAAACTCATTTATGTGGGAAAAAATTTTTATCAACTGCTTTATATACAAAATGCTCAGGACTATAATGGTAACATACGTTCTACCATAAAAACCTTGGTCTTGTGTACATTTTTTCAGGGTTAACAGTAAGTGGAAAAAATAGGCTATTTAAGTAAAGAAGCTCACCTAGTAACAAGAAACCATGCAGCTTCTCCCCAATCAGGGGAAGGACGACAATAAGTTTTGATGTGGGGCATTGCTCGATTTCTTCCTCTCCCCTCAGACCTCCACTGACTGTGTAGAAAAATCAAATATCAGTACCGGTAAATTCACCATAAATGACTTGATAAATGGTCCTCTTTACTTTACATGACTACGATTAAGAGAATGTTATAAAAAGGTTTGCAAGCCAAATGCTGTTTTACTTTGAAATTTTCATCAAGTAAGTAAAACATCTTTGCAAGAGTTTGGTTTGGAACATTTCTTTTTTATACATATACACATACAGCTGTACATTAGATCCAGCATGGATAAATTGCTCCAAGCATTAATTATTACATTAGAATCTATAAAGGAAACAAAAAATTGACAAGCAAAAATTCATTTTATCATGTTTCCTAGAGTAGCTTCCCTTGACAGCACTCTTTATGTGGAAGTTTGATGAATCCCAAATCTCACTAGAATTCTGAGTACATAATGCAAGACTAAGGAGTAAAAAAATACAGTAATTCCAAATTCATAAAACACCTGCAACACTTTTTATTTTTGTCAAAGTGATTAATGGATCTTTTTTTGTTAATACTGTAGACACAAGTCTTTTTAATTACCTACAAATTTTATGCATAAATTAAATTGTGACATCATTGTTCCCAACCTGTAGGCATAATGTGTCTTTAATATGAAAGAGTTCCTTTAGAATTACAAAACCAATATTATATAGGGTTATTGAACTTATATTGGCACAAGTTTTGGCTGTACAAATGCATGAGCATGCAAGTGCATTTGTACAGCCAACTTGTGCCATTATTCACCAATATAAGTTCAATAACTCCTTTATTATATAGCTAAAACATAGAAATTATTTCAATTAAATAACTCAAATTAATAAGAATTTTTCAGTATCAGTATTTAAATTAACCTCTGTCCTGTAAGTGTTCAATATTGCATCATTCCGGTGACGCTACCAAGCATTAAGATTTGCTTATTGAGGTTTTATTGAGGCTAATAGGTACTAAATTATTATTTCATTATTTCAATTTTGTGTGAAAATAGAACACATCTTACCTAGCTGTCACTACCTATCATAAATTTGCCATTGAGAGGTTGACCAGAAGACATTTTTTGTTTACAACGGGGCGTTCAATATTGAACACTCGCATTTGGAGAGTTTTGGGGCATACTCCTATACGTAATACAAACTCAGCATTCAATAAAACGCCAAGATATTGAACACTAAATTTCTCCAGACTTTTAGAAATCTTTTTTATAATAGACTATTTATTAGCTTTCTAATAAATGTAATAATTTTTGCCCAATTTTTGATTCAAAATCTAATTCTACAATTGTTCATTTATTTTTGCTATTTGTGGGGATTTAATAAAATTATACTTTAGTTCTTTAGAATGCATGTACATGTATCAAACTTTCTTTAAAAGGTAAACGCACAAGCTTGCCAAAGCTTCAATTACAAGAAAAAAAAAAATAACTATCACACATCATTCAATTCTCTTTAACTTAATATTTTAACTCACTGGAAGAATGCATGAAGCCAGGGTTGTTTCTTAGCAACATTAATGCTATATGGAATAGAGCCTCCAGCTGGATATCCCTCTAAACTGGTTCTCACATTGTCGACTGATGGAAATATCTAAAAATGGTTTTAAAGTGATATTGTAGAAACACAGAAATCTAAATTTAGTGCAGAAAAAAGGTATGAAAATCATTGGAATGGAGATCAAGATGTCTTTCAATCATAAAAATGTTAGCGATGTTAAATGTCAATTGGTAAAGGATATGAAAAGACAAAAATTAGCATGTTCCTTCTAATTCATTGAAACAAACCAGTTTCAGTGGCACAGAGGCTAGAGGGACACTGCTAGTACCCTTTACTGTTGCTAAGGACTGCAGAAATTCTGTACACAACCAGTTTTCTTTAGATGCTCCAAGTGAGCCAACACTGGAAAACTGCCCAATTAATGGCCATTTTGATGTCTGTTCCTTTGGTGGACCATGGTCATGTAAAAGTTTTCTCAGCCTCATATGACCAAAACAATGTTTCTTGTCTGCCATATGTCTTCCTGGTACAGAACCAACAATAAATACACTGAAAAAGAAATTTTAATGGCTAATTTTAACTTCTTAATAAAATTTAAAGTTAGTCAAAATTTTGTCTTTCTTTACAGTAAATGCTCACTGTACACTAAAAGCTTACTTTGCAGTAGAGAAGTCATGCATGGAAATGTGGTCTTGCCATTCTTTCAGCTGATATGCTTTATATGCTGCCAAATACTGCAGAAGATCCTTCTTAAAATGTGTGGGAGAGTCACCATGTGTAGCAGAGGGTCCTGACTTCAGTTTTGGAAATACTGGGCTTATCCAAACCCTGTATCACAAATATTCAAGCATAGTCAGTTTCTCAAATATTTTGGGTTTTATGAACATCAACCCCATTTCCACCAATGCATTAAATACTTGGACACTTTTTAACCTTCATGTATGCTGACCTACCCCTGAGTTTTCTGGTGCCAGTCTCTTTCTATCAGGTTTGCTGTGTGGATCACTACCCTGAGTCCATTGTCATACAAAAGGAACATCATTTTTCTGTAAAGAAGATTTACCCTTCAAAGTGGAAAAAATGTGTTGTACAAACCAGTACAAAATCTCCCTACCGTCCACACTAATTAAATTAAATCAATTGACTAGATCTTTTTACTTTTGTGATATTATAGCAAAATCTATTTATGCATTTAAATGATAACATTTTTCACCGAGATACTTTAGATGCAGAGATTCAGTATTCTATTTTAAACACTTGCGTATGATGTGTTCCATATGGCATTTCCAATCTTGCCTAAAATAAAATTATAAAGCTTATTTATAAGACACAAGTATTGACCATTTAAAAGCAATAACACTAAATTACACCTTTTAAAAATTAATTGCATTAAAAAATAATACAGTAACACATTGTGATTTTACTATTTCATGACACATTATATAACACAAAACATGCAAATATGTAATTTTCAAAAATTAACCAATTTTTTAATCCTCAATTTCTACATGAATGAAATGATGAACAATCACTATTACGTATGAACAAATATTATATTTTTCCTTTCGTAGATAAATTTCTTCAACACTTACTTGACAGAACTTGATATTGGTGAATTTTCTGGCATCAGCCTCTAGTGCTGATTTTTGTCCTCCCTGAAATCCATGCACACAAAGGAGGGGCTTCTGTCTGAAATTTATACACTATCTGTCATCTCTCTAAGAAAATACTCAAGCCTCCATATGATTTTTCAAATATTAATATGCAAGACAAAATCTCTGTAGATAAACTCATGTCAAGAAGAGGCAGCACCTGACTTTCCATACATTGTTAAACATTAAAAAGTTTCATGCTAACTCTTGTCTAGTCACATCCTTAATCTTCAATATATGTACCTCTTCGATTATGGATGAGTTTTTGGGGAGGGGGAATGGGTGTTTAATGCTTTGTCTTACCTAAATGATGCTGGATATTGCTGCATTAGCCACTGAATTTCAAACATATAATTAAACTGAAAAAAAAAACAAACAGAAATACTATTGCTTTTCAAATAAATTGATTGATGGTGATTTTCTTCCTAAAATGGAATGCATCAACCAAAATCTCAATCTGAGTAAGCAGGGTAAATATATATAAATACAGTCAAGCCTAATTAATCTGTACACTTGTGTATTTCCAAGCAAATCATCTGGATTAATGAGTAATGAAGCCTCCGGATTAATAAAACTTATCTTTTATAATTGGTATATATAATGTAAATCCTATGAAGCACAAATTTCATTCAGAATGTAAAATGTGTGGATAATGATGCTTGACTGTATACCTACCAAGTGTGATAATTTACCTGACAAGATTCTTGTAAATTTCCCATTTTCTCTGTTAAAATATCTGAAATATATTTTTTATACAATTAAGCAAGAGTAAAATGTAATAATTATCATTATCAATTAATCAAGGTTGAAAGTTTACATTTCTGAGTATTAGATTTTACCTTTGAGACTCATGGTATTTGCACCATTGCATTCACTAGATATCCCATGAACTTTTGTAAGAAAGAAACTAATCGGTTGAGCATGACTAAAGACAGCTAAAGGTTCCTTTAAGGTAAGTGCCATGGCTTCTGCCTTATGCTTTTTAATTGGTGGAGATTGTGATCTTTGCCTTGTTTTACTTCCACTTGCAGCCTCACTGCTGCCACCATCTGCTACAAAAGTAATACTCTGCACTAAAACATGTAGATGCATATTTCTAAGGGAATGTTTCAATGCAGTTTGAGTTTACTAAATGTCATAATTTGTCAAAGATCTTAGAAGTTTGTTATTACTGTAAACAAAAGGCATAAATGAATAAAAAAGAGTCAGAGTGTAGACTTGTTTTCTACTTTAATCTCTGGTAGATTACACTCCTTCTTCCTCTTATTTATTATTTCTTTAATTAATGTTATGCAACTCAAAATTAATCTTTTTTTTCAAATTTAAGGAATTGTCTAATTTCTGATTTTGTTGGCTTACAAGGATGTGAAAATTCCTTGAAATGATCCGGGTTCTTCCTGTAACATTTTGAGCCAAATTTACAAGGTGGCAGAGATTTTGAAGTTTCTCGTGCTGGACTTCTCCTTGAACTATCCCCAGACGAATGTTTTCTTTTCAAAGATGGAGAATCTACTCTCCTTTCAGTGACAATTTTTCCAATGCCTGATTTCTTATTTCTTGCTGAATTGTTCTGATCATTCAGTTTTTCCACATCTGTTGATTTTTCATCCTTTATTTTACTTAAAGATAAATTTGCAAGAATGGGCTTATGATTTTTTTTCAGTAACTTTGGTGAAGTTCTTCCATTCATTGAATCATCTGTATTTTGTCCATGAACTGTTTTTGCTCGTCTTTTTACAAAATCGGGTTCATCACCATCAGAATCAGACAACTGATGATAGGTAGACTGTCTTTTTGAAATTGATGGTCTTGTTGGAGAAGGACTGAACAGATTTGGAGAATCCCAGTCACTTGGATCTGGTTCAATTGTTGCATCGGAGTCTGTGTCAGACATTTTCCTTTCTTCCCCTTTATTCAACTATTTTGCTTTTATGAATTCATACATTTTTAAGCACTGCAACTTGATACTGTTGATAGCCTTAAAGACAAAAGAACAATCGACAGTCTATTTACATATAAAATACGAGACACAAAAGATAAATTGAACATCAAAAATTATTAAAAGCTAACCATCATGCCATATGGCAATTCAAATTTTTAAAATAACCCTCCTCCCTCTTCCCCTAAAATAAAATTAAAAAAAAATGTAATATACACACCGATAAACGATGACAAAATAATGTAGAGTTTAGACAGTAAAAGCCTAAAAGATGCCCAATTAAATCAAACTGGGTAAATTTGACACAGAATTCAGTTTGGCTGCCGCTACAGTTTCACTTTGCCGTTTGTTTAAATTTTACTTTCATTTTCACTTTAAGGAAATAATGTTTTCGTATACACTCTAAAATAAAAATATACCGTATACAATAATGTTGAGTGTATGCTTACCAAAACCAAATTACAAATCAATTGTAATTATATCAATTACTTAATCTGCAATAGTAGCATTTAACATATTTATGACGACTATATTCGAATTCGAAACTACGGCTTAAGAAGACAAATGTAAACATTTTTTTGGCATGTAACTTTTCGCAGATCATCAACGTATTATCTGAGGAATTTAAGCAAGGTATGTGCATGGTTTAACATTTAACTTTTTATTGCCTCCAAATATGACGAAAAAGGCGATTTTGTTTTCACAAAATTGATCATCTATTAAAGCAAGTTTCTTTAAATGATACAGTCCTAAACATGTTTGGACAGAACTCCTTTTTTTGACAGTGTTGTCTTTGATCTTTCTACATTTTATTATTGACCTATTTGTACAACTGATACGTTAAAATGCTTAGTATTAGTAAAAATCATGAATGTGTATTTCTTGAAGAGTATTGATAAAAGTATAAAATTGTGATTGACTGCACTGGACTGCCCCACTGGACTGGTTTAACCCCCACCTTCCTCTATTACATTTACAGTGACAATAGTTTTACAACAAAAAAGGATATATAGAATACTATAGAAAACATAGCTACTATTTGTGTGTGCCCCCTCAATAACAATGTCTGATGACCTTTTTTTTTGCTAATGCCAGGGACCTATATACTATAGGTCCCTGCTAATGCTTAATTGTCAAGGAATATTGGTAGTTTTTTTTTTTTTCTGCTTGTCAAGGAATTTTGGTAGGTGATAGTGCCCCCCCCCCCCCAACTGAAAATGTATATGGTTGTGCCCCTTAAAGTGAAATTGCTTCCTACGGGCCTGTAATTGCAATATAGCAAATCGGAGCAATCCAAGCTGATCCACTCTGAAGCGATTTTGAAGAATACAAAAGGAGTTGCACTGAAAACTGAGTCTGTAGGACAATATGATCATTTTAATGATAGAATGTTCTATCAATAACAAACTTACTAATTATTGCACAAGTTGATTAAACTAACAACCCTCAGCAAAGTTTGACTTGGTGCATAGTGCAATTACATTTACTCCAGCATTCTAGAGGTTCACTGCGAGATACTTTTGACTTGGCGCCGTGTGTAGGGACGTTAACCGAGGCTCTTGCTTGTAGGAGTAAATTACATTGTTTCAATAGAACATTCTTGTATAGATAATGCAGGAGATGAGGTCCATCATAACTTCAGCCTGGTTGCAGTTGTGCACCATTACAAATATTTTGGAATCACCATTGTTCCTGAGGGAACCAAAGTCTATGGATTTTGTTGGTAACGCTTACCCATGAATTTTCATCCACAGGAATCTTTAGTTTGTCAGTGTATCCATTCATTGAATCTTCAGTTAATGCAAGTTACCCTCAAAATTACATCACTACAACCAGTAAAACTTTGATCACCCACGAACATTGACCCTCACAAATTAAAATGATTCCACAGTAGCTGAAGTTTCACAGTATGAGTTCAAGACTGGCAGATATTTTTCTCGCATGTCATCTGGGCGGCACCAACAAAACACAGAGGTTATTTAGAAGACTGTTTTACTGGTGGTAACCACAAGAAAAAAGATAAAAGATTCTAATGATAACAGGTACACAGAACTGGCAGCTCAGACAGTGGAGCACAGATATAGTTAATGAGAGGTCCTGGATTCAAGTTTCAGTATGACAACTTGTTTTCTTGATTTTTACATACTATTTTGTTAAGTGGTTAACCTTGTCAAGGTAGAAGTTGTGCACAGACAAACAGACTCAAAACTTATGTCCCCAGTATTCACCATGGAGAGCCTTGGGTATAACACTTGTACAATTTTTTTTAATACCTTTCGTTTCCATTATAATTTTTTGCAGATTGCTTCTCTTTAATTTTTGCAGATGGCAGAAGTTCACATCATTGGACAGATTGTGGGAGCTTCCGGCTTTCCTGACCACAGTCTCTTCTGCAAATGGGGAGTCAACACAGGTAAGACACACTAAAGATTCTCAATATTCGGGGGGGGGGGGGCTTTTGGATTTCAGGACTACAGCTTTCTCTTCTTTTCTTCTTCATATACTGAACTGAGTTCTTCAGGCACATGGGAGGATGGTTAAAATCCTATATAAAATCGACTACAGCTTTCTCTTCTTTTCTTCTTCATATACTGAACTGAGTTCTTCAGGCACATGGGAGGATGGTTAAAATCCTATATAAAATCCTCTATATTTACAATTAATCTCTACTTTAAAAGGTATTTGATGGAAAAAAAATATCTCTGTGATTCAGAATTTTAAAGTAAAGCACCAAAAACTATGAATAGATAAAAACATACTGGAAAAAAATATCTATATTTCAAATAAAGAAAATTAATCATGTATTTTGCAAACACACAGATTCTGAGGACTCTTATACCTAAGACAATTGTTATATTTACTTTAATAACTCAATATGTAATACACTATCAAATTGTGATTAATTCAGGAGGTGCTTGGAAGGCATTAGCAGGTCTGAGAGAAGGACAGACACAAGTAGACAATCCACAGCAACATGATGCAGCCTACTGGGCTCATCCAATAGACATCCACTATGCAACCAAGGGTCTTCAAGGTATTAAAAAAAATCCAAAAAAAAAATCCAAAAAAAAAAACAAATCCAAAAAAAAAACAAATCCAAAAAAAAAAAAAACATGGCTTCTCAGGGTCACTATGTTCTGGAATTACATGAATTTGATGCAATATAATGTTAAAAGGAAGAGTAAATAAGAGTTGGAAGGGAAATTAAAAAATGCATTCTATCAGAAATGAATACTTCCAGTGAATTCTGATTGAACATCTGTGATACCTTACAGGTTGGCCAAAGATTCATTTCCAAGTTTGGCATCAAGATTCCTTTGGAAGAAATGAGCTTTATGGCTATGGTTTCTGTCATGTACCAACAACTCCAGGAATGCATGAAATTGAATGTCCAACATGGAGACCTTCTGGGAGTTTTAGAGAACAAGTTTCACAGTATTTCCTTGGAGGTGGCCCACAGTTAAAAAATCCGGACTTGATTTATAGTGGTGCAGATCGTTACAGACTTCATACTGTTGCCATGGGATCTGTACATTTAAGACTTGGAGTCATTCTTAGGAACTTTGACAAATATGGGATTGAATGTTAAAAATATATTTTTTGGAGATTTTCTTTAAAAAAATATTCTCTTTCATTTACATGTACCAATCTCTGACAATATATGTAAACTCCATTTAGCATGTCAAACACAGAATCCATTGTTATTTCTGAGGGAGGTGATACATTGATGATTTGTTGTCATATATTTTGTAGTTATAAATTTCAATAAACTATTTATTTATATTAAAATAATCTTTTTTTATATATATATTTTTTCATAAAATGAGTTCTTATAAAGACAAAAATTCAGGGGACATAGAATTTCTGTGTAGCTGTCTGATACAGGTAGTGGTCGGTCAATTTTTTTTCTTTTTTTTTTTACATGTATGGTTACTGGTCTTCCCAAATCAAAGCCTATCCTTTGTTCAGTTAAAACTTACACTCAGGATCAATCCAAATGTCCAACAACCACAAGTGAATTCATATCCTCTTGGTTTGAATATCCAATTCCTTAATAACCCATGGAAACGAAGTTTAGGGAATATACTAAATTCACATTACCAGCTGTCCTTAGTCATTTTTAAAAAAAAAAAAAATAAAAAATCTGTAGACATAATATATAAAAGAAATTGTGCACATGGTATTTTCAGATAAATACCAAGGTAATCAAAATTTTTTAAAAAGTTCCAGTGTATTATACATAAAATCTGTAACAAGGAACATGAAGAGTGAAAATTCTTGCTTGAACATAACATTGAAACCGAGAAACAAGAGGCTTGCAGCTTATACCCGATATAAGGCAGCTTGTCACCAAAGTCACAGGCTAGTACAAATGTATTGAATTTTGTTCCAACAGCAACTTTGAAATAGAAAAACATCAGTGATTTATATTGTAAACGTCTTTAATTTCACATATCTGATATTTCACGATTTCCTATGTTGGTACATTTCACAGTGGTTTTAATTTCACGGTAACACAATTTGTCTTTACTGTATATTTGCAATTTAATAAACAAAGAAAGTTATAGCTAATAATTTAAATATGTACATAAACTAACTTTAAATGGATATTGTTATTATGTGCTCAGGTTTACTTGATATTTTCAATTATTTACTATTTTACTGATATGAAATAGAAAAGCAGGATTCTAAAATGTATAAATAAGTGAATGCTACATTGATATGTACTTAGTCAAAGATTGCTTGTGACTCAAATATAATATGTCCTGACCCAGGGTAATTTGGATATACATGTAGTAAAGGTCACAGGTTTTAAAAATAAAAAAAAAATCTTGCCTTGCAATAACTTTGAAGTGCCTTGTGGAAGAAAGATTGGGTTGGTATTAGTCCTATTAGGATAGTTCAGTTACAGATACACTTCATCATTACAGCTTTTATTTTTAATACAAAAAGTATCAATATATAATACGTATTTGCAGTGAAGTAAACTTTGATAACAACAGAGACTATTCAGGTTATTAAAGTATGTAACATTAAAAGTAAAGCATACTTCAATCAACTTGTGTAAGGGCAGTTGTATCATTCTCTATGAGATCAAAGTGTGTATTATTTTTTGAAATACTATATCCCACAGAAAATTGAAGTTATTCATATAATACATGTATATAAAAATGGAGGTGAGACTGAGCATGCAAAAAAGTTTGTCCATATTGTCTCTTTCCTTTAATACCTGAACGGTTGCTATTGTTATTCACTTTACTGCAAATGTTCATTATCTATGATTTACCATTTTAACAGAAAAGGAGTAAATGTGATGGACCAGACCAGGATTTGAACCCAGGCCCCTTGAACTCTTAGACAAATGCTCTACCATACTATCTAGTCACTGGCAAATGAATGTGCCTGCTAAATTCCTCCCTCCTTAAGTGTCTTCACAATCAAAGACTAGCAACCCAGATTCTTTTGCACCTGGCAGGACTTTCATCTGCAAGTCCAGGGTTGATCAACTGCAGCAAAGTTAATAGGGAGAAAATGTAATGGATCAGACCATGTTTTAACCGTGGCAGCTAGCTCTCTAGACAGGAACTCTACATCTGGTTACTGGCAAACATGCCCGACTTCCACAGGAAGTCAGTAATATCAGGTGCAAAAGCATATCACTTGCATGCAGCTCAACTGTGTATGAAATGAATAATACATGTATAAAGAAATAGCCTAATGTCCATAATCTGTTCACTATTTTTAAATAAATGTCACAATTTTTTTCACATTGAAGTAATTTAAAATCAAAATTAATTTGAATTTTAAGACAGAAACAGATCATCAAGATCATCAACATTTTGTGAGAGTGCAGAAGTACATGTAAATTTATTTTGTTGACCGGTTTCGACCAGAAACAGTTGTCATCAGAACTTGTGGGAATCCTCAGCAATTTCAACCTTAAGGTGTTGGTCTCCAGTTTTTCTTTGTTTTTAAAAATAAATAATTTAAATACACAAGTTAAAACACAAAGATTTTCAAACATGGAATACAAAACAATGTTTATTGCTAAATATTAGGGTACACAAACATTTATATTTTAATTTATGAACACTTAGTTTTATCTTGATTTTTGTTCTGTATGAGCTGTTAATGGCATAAATCCTGGGGGTACATAATCTGTGCTTTGGGGAGCAATGGCCATAAATTTGTAGGCATGCCCCATTTCTTGTGGGTGCATCAGTCTTCTGACACTTTCCAATAAAATCTTCTTGGTTTGGTCATCTGCATTCTGCAGCAATGCCTATTTATAATGAAATTTTAGACATTTTAATGACATCTAATTTACGATGTAGTATGTACATTATGTGTCTACCTGAAGAGGAATACAAATCTGAAAAGAGGGAATTTTAAACATATGAAGTATAGATGCCACTCAGATGTTGTGCAAAGGTAGAGAGTGTAAATTCCACACAAACTAGAAATGCCCATAATATTTGTACTCTACCTGTAGACGGACACCAATCCCCATTCCATTCAGAAAATTATTCTGTGTCACAGGTCCAAATGTTTTCACTACAAATTTGGGAAAACCCAGAGACATCAGTATGTTATGAAACTGAGAACTTTTTTCTAAAAATCATTTACATGTATATGAAGAAAATAGTTAGCTCTACCATTATTTTTCTTTTATATAATTACTTTTTGGGGATACATATACATTTAATGTATGAATACATTTACTTTAATTTTAAGCACACACAAATTTCTGTACTGGACGTATTACTTCTAAAAATCTTGATCACATGCTTACTTTCATCTAAATTGAAATAGTGGTGGAAATCTTAAATGAGAGGCCCATGGGCCACAATGCTCACCACAGTCACTATGGTCTTGCTGTTCTTTATCAGCAGATTTTTTTCCTATACATTCCTATGTAAAACTTTTATCACTATTGTGTCCCCACCCTATCCCCGGAGTAATGATTTAAACAAACTTGAATCTACACTATCTGAGGATGCTTTAGTATCAAAATGACTAATCATGCCTTTGTTGTTCTTGAGAAGATTTATAATAGACTTTTCCCTTATATATTACAATGTAAAACTTTGATCACATATTGTGGCCCTGCCCTACCCTTCCAGGTCATGATCATTTGAACAAACTTGAATCTAAACTACCTTAAGATGCTATCATATCAATATGACTAATCATGCTTTTGCTGTTCTTGAGAAAAAAAAAATTTAAAGATTTTTTTCCTATATATTCCTATGGAAAACTTTGATCGGCCATTGTGGCCCCAACCTACCTCAGGGGGTCATGATTTGAACAAAATTGAATCTACACCATGTAATGAAACTTTCAAATAAATTTAAACATTTCTGTCTGAGTGGTTCTTGAGAAGAAAATTTTTGAAAGACACCATTAAATTTTCAGCAATTCTTAATTGTTACCCTTCATTTGAATAAAGTTATTCCCTACACCCAAGGATGCTTTGTGGCAATTTTGGTTGAAATTAGCCCGGTGGTTCTGGAGAAGAAAATAAAATTCTGAAAAGTTTTATACAGCAACAAAAACAACAACAAGGACTACAATGACAGAAAACAGACAAATTTTGATTCAGGTGAGCTAAAAAGTTCTTAACAAAACAAAATATGATATTACCTTTATCCCCACAACAGTGCTTAAGATAAGCAAAGTCTACATCAGCTGTGAGGTCTGCAGAGCCTGGCTTCTCTAAAGGGTCATACAGTTTGTGATCTTTAAAGCCCTGTATAAAAATAAATCAACAGTATGATTATCAGAACATACACTAAATGACAAAAGTCATATAATGAACCAGATATAGTAGAACTGTAAAACAGTGTTCCCCTTACAATACAATAAAAATACAGCTGAACTTTGATATCTCGAACCACATTGACTTTATTTTGACATATCATTTGGAAAATCAACAAATTTATAATGAATGTTGCTGGTATTCTACCAAAAATATGTCAAGAAAATTAAGTATTATACTGTCATTTGTCTAGTGCATCCTTTTTCCAGAATTTTTACAAATAAAAAAATTGGGAGGGTGGTAAGGTAAACTAGGCAAAGTACTAAAAACTGAAACCCACAATTACTAGCCATTTTTAATTTAGCTGCTTTGATAGTGTTTATAAAAAGTTTTCCTTTACCCTAAATGTATCGGTCTTGGTTCCCTCATGACCATAGTCAACAATAAGAGCTCGTCCTCCATGATCACTGATCCTTTGTGACATCTTCTGTACTACAGACCCACTCTCTGGGCTCACTTCCACATGCTCTCTCTCATCAGAGTCCTCCATATGCTGAAATTACATCAGATTTGCTTATCTTATTATCCACAGAATGAAATATCATACGAGACTGTTAATTACACCCCTTGTAAATGACAGTCAAACAATACTTACAGTAAGGAATGCCTTTGAATTGGTAGTGGGTCCTCTAGACATGATAAAACGTAGTCCTCCTTCCTCCTGGATGTCCACTAGAATCTCGTTCCACTCACCATCCTTCTTCTACAATTCAAAAGATAATACATGTAAATGCTGCTCAAAATCAATGTGGTTGTAATGATGCAATATATGTACATGTACTAGTATAATTCCTGTCCCTGAAGAATGCATGTCTATGAAGTCTGTCAAAATTAATGTCCATAAAGTATTCAAAACTAAATCTGTCCAAATACAATGTTGAATCAGTACTCCTACTGGGCTACTAAAGAAAGGACATATTTAACAAAAATAAATAATAACAATACTCTGTCATCTTACAA